CGATGCAATCCGACAGGACTCGGGCAGAAATCATGTTCATGGATGAGCTAATGATTTATTAACATAGTAGAATGAAACAGGAAGCCGTCGAAGCGAAACGAGGCGCTGAACGAGCGCGACACACGGCTCGAAAGCAGCAGAGCTTTTATTATGCCACAGTCGAGCGCTTCCGCTGCTTCCGGTCATGCGTATGTGGGGTAAAGCAGCGCTGTTTTATCATACTAGATACATTTAGTTCTGTTATAATGCTACTCTGTGTGGTCGTCACCGGTCTATTAAAACACACAACATATTAAAGCGTCTTTGGTGTTTCCATGTTTTCTACAAAACAAAACCGGAAATCGAGGGGTTATGACGTCATTAGCAGGCGACACAATGACACTATGGACACGCTCCGTGTCACTAGTTAAAATTGCTAACTAGTGGCTTAAAAAAATGGCTTAATTACTTCATTGCTGCTTGCAGTTATATTTCTTTTTGTAATTATTGAGCTCACCTGTGGTTGTCTTCCGGTGTATTTGAACCCCTTTAGTAGACCAAAACCTACCAAAGGAAATATTAGTCATGGATTGTACAATTCTAAAATCTTTACCTCAGTGGAAAACTCTGGAGGTTTAACTAAGATGCATGAAAGTGTTTTTTTTTTTTTTTTTGTGGAGACACATAAATGAAATATTACTTGAATTAAGGCACCACACCAAAAATAAGAGGAACACAATTACAATTTGGTTTCATGTTTTATGACAGGTGCAGTTTTACAGAGAGATAATGACGTCTGATGGTCATGATAATCTTCTCTTGGTTTCACGAGTAAAACATCTAAATAACCCTATTGTCATAAGGACAGAACTATATGCTTTCAAATGCAAAATTCAGTTTCACAACCTGTAAGAAATTTCTGTGCACTGTGTACCGAATGTAAAAGTGACCATATTGTGCAGGCAAAGGTTTTAGGTTTGAATACATTGTGCACAGTAACTTTTTTATCTTAATGCATGAATAAATATAAACATAATATTGATTTTGGAGGGTTCATTAAAGAGCGTCAACACTGAAACTGAGCTCTGCAGATCTCTGTACTGATCTCTGACTCTCACGCTCTTCCTCTTCAGTTCCCGTCCACAGTTTTCCAGGGTACAGCGGATCTGTGTGGCAGTCTGTGTTATGAGATCCTGAAGTGCTGTAACCATCGCTCCAGCTCCACTCAGACCGAAGCCGCCGCGCTGCTCTACTTCCTCATGAGGAGGAACTTTGAGTTTACGAAGGGCAAATGCATCGTCCGCTCACACCTGCAGGTCAGGCTTCTGTTACTCTGCTGCCAGTGGGTGTCTGTATTTGGGTTATGCTTTATATTCGATATTTAGACATTCTACTGACTATAAGCGACTTTAAACCAACTATATTGCCTTTCAAAAGTTTGGGATCAGTTGTTTTTTAAAGAAGTCTTGTCTGCTTATCAAGGCTGCATTTATTTGATCAAAAATATATATAGTAAAATATAATTTATTCTTGCTGAATTTTCAGCATCATTACTCCAGTCTCCAGTGTCACATGATCCTTCAAAAATCATTTTAATATGCTGATTTATTATCAATGTTGGGAACAGTTGTGCTGCTTAATATTTTTTTGGAACCTGTGATACTTCTTTCAGGATTCTTCTTTCTTTGATGAATAAAATGTTTAAAAGCATTTATTCAAAATAGAAACCTTTTCTAACAATATAAGCTTTCTATTACTTGTTATCAATTTAAAACAAGAGTATTAAGTTCTTTAAAAATAATAATAATAATAATAATGTACTGATTTTTATTTATAATTAATGCCGTCCTTTTTACCTTCTTATTTGTCAAAGAATCCTGAAAGAACTATCACAGGTTCCACAAAAAAAAAAAGCAGCACAACTGTTTCAACACTGATAATAAACCAGCATATTAGAATGATTTCTGAAGATCATGTGACACTGAAGACTGCAGTAATGATGCTGGAAATTCAGCTTTGATCACAGAAATAAATTACAGTTTATTATATATTCACATAGAACGCAGTTATTTTAAATTGTAATAATATTTCACAATATTACTGGTTTTTTTTTCAGAATTTTTTATCAAATAAATGCAGCGTTGATGAGCAAATAAAAAGACTTCTTTACAAAAACAACTGATCCCAAACTTTTGAATGGCAATATAGTTGGTTTAAAGTCAGTGGAATGTCTGACTATACGGATCCCAAACTTTTGAATGTTGATGTGCATTACAACTAACTTTCATTATTTCTCCACTTCATGTAGAATAAGTTAACATACATAACGTACTTACAAACTTACATTCAATCAGCAGAATGTCCATCAAAATGAAGAGTTAGCAGATATTAAGCAGAAAGTCACTAATACTCTAATGCCTGCTAGATGACATGGAGTTACAAAGTTACTTATTGTTAGTAGAATCTCTACAGTGGACTATCAGAATAAACCTGTATTCGTGTGCCTTATGGTGTATGTGCTCAGTCTTGTATTGAAGATAACTGACAATATGCTTTTTCTGGCTGGTTTGGGGACTGAATGTGAGAAACTGATTTGGATTCTTGTCTTCTTCTCATCCAGGTGATTAAATCTGTAAGTCAGCTGATCGCTGATGCAGGTATCGGTGGTTCACGCTTCCAGCAGTCTCTGGCCATCATCAACAACTTTGCCAATGGAGACACGCCGCTCAAAGTGAGAGTTTAGCAAAGATAACACTTTAACCCTTGTGCTGTGCTGTAAATCCTTTACCTCATTTGGTATTTCTGGTAAAAAAAAAAATGACTGGCCTTTTAAAAATTGCTTGTAAATCTCTGTATTTATTTTATTTAACTGATTGATCATAGGCCTCATTGATCTGAGCTTATGCACCTCAGGTTTTGAGTGAACATTGCCAAAATTATCCACAAATGATGCTTTTTTCAGTCAAGTGTAACAAGGTAGGGGACAAATCCCAAAAAAAGTGCTAAAAATATCAATTTTTTGGGGAAGTTGTTATTCCCTGTTTGAGCAAAGTCTGTAAACTTTAGTCCAGTGTGTGTACATTAACCAGCGTTTTTGGGGAAAATAAAATCCTCATTAGGTCAATAAGGGTTAAAACTATAGTGTGTATCTTCTGTGCCATCAAATATAATTGCAAAAATAGTGATAGTTTCAGTGAATTTGATTTGCAAGCAGTTTCGGAGGACCAGATTTACAGTCATAGAAGACAAGAACAGCACAATCACATTAACTAGCGCTGTATCGTTACAAAAATATAATGTTAAACAACTGATATTTTGCTTTCTTCCAGAACACCACGTTCCCGGCTGAGGTGAAGGACCTGACCAAGAGGATACGCACCGTCCTGATGGCCACCTCCCAAATGAAAGAGCATGAAAAGGACCCGGAGATGTTGGTGGACCTGCAGTACAGCCTCGCCAACTCCTACGCCAGCACACCTGAGCTCAGACGCACCTGGCTAGAGAGCATGGCCAAGATCCACGTTAGAAACGGAGACCTGTCTGAGGTCCGAATGACTTCATCGAGAGGATCTTGTCATTAGCTGGTTTCATGCATGAATGATGAAAACATGATGCTAGATGAAGACTCAGCCTCAGTCACAATATAATATATGGAATGAATGAGAATGGTGACGGTCGGTCCCTAACATTCTGCATAACATATAAAAAAATTTGAGGGTGAATAATTTAATAAAAGAATTTAAATTTTTGAGGGAAATATTCTTTAAAGGAATAGTTCAAACTGAATTTTTTTTTTAAATGTGCTCACCCTCAGGCCATCCAAGATGTAGATGAGTTTGTTTCTTCATCAGATTTGGAGAAATGTAGCATTGCATCAGTGTCTCACCAGTGGATCCTCTGCAGTGAATGGGTGCCGTCAGAATGAGAGTCCAAACAGCTGATAAAAACATCACAATAATCCACAAGTAATCCACAGCACTCCAGTCCATCAGTTAACATCTGGAGAAGACAAAAGCTGAAACAATTCCATCACTAAAACGTTTTAACTTTAAACCTTTGCTTCCTGCTAAAATGAGTCCATAATCCATAATAACGCTTCCTCCAGTGAAAAAGTGTTCTGGTGTGAATCAGGAGAGAAATCTGCACAGATCAAGCAGCGTTTAAACAGCTCTAAACACATATGTGGCTGGATTCTGATGTGAGAGACAACAGGAGATGCACTTTTTACTGGAGGAAGCGTTATTATGGATTATGGACTCGTATTTTAATTAAAAAATTCTTAATGATGGATTTGTTTCTTACAAACATGCAGCTTTTGGCTTCTCAAGACATTAACTGATGGACTGGAGTGGTGTGGATTACTTGTGGATTATTGTGATGTTTTTATCAGCTGTTTGGACTCTCATTCTGACGGCACCCATTCACTGAAGAGAATCCATTGATGACCCAGTGATGGAATGACACATTAGGTGAACTATTTCTTTAAAGGTTCATTCATGCAGAAATCAGCACCTCAGATTTGAATTTTTCTGAAAGGGACTTGTGCTTTTTGTATCTCATTTAAAATGAAATTTTAAAAACTCTTTTCCTTGTCCACTTCAGGCGGCCATGTGCTATATCCACATCTCAGCACTTATAGCAGAGTCTCTGAGGAGGAGAGGTGAGCAGCTGCTTGTGGCGATCAGTATTTCAGTAATGCCTGCTTATATCAATGCAATAGTTTTTTTTTTTTTTTGCAAACATCGCATAAATAGCCTTCCTATTGAGCTTTCGTTTGACATGCTGTTTGGCCATTGCTGCTCAGTTGCTGTTGTTTTTTTCAGTGCTGCACTTCATAATGAAAAGTGCTCCTTGCTCCTTCCTGCCACTTGCTTTATTCCTTATACTGTGAGTTTTTGTGGCCTCGACATTAGATGCATTCTAGCTCATTGTGTGGCTGGCGTAGATGCATGAGTTTACAGTATAGATGCATGGCTGGAGCACTTGCCTTCGTGATAAATATTAAATAGGGGTGAGCAGTATGAAGAAAATCTTATTACAGTATGGCTAATTGAATATAATGTTAACAGTGTATATCATAATATAGCTGTTTTTACTGAATATTCAACTAATGGCTGTGGAAATGTTTTAAACGCTACTTCATATCACTTAATCATCATTAACATTATAGCAAAATCTCCACCGACTGACTCTTGCACGGTGCATGCCGTCATACTGCTCAGCCCTAGGTTGCGAGTAAACCTGTGTTAAACCTGATGCCGCTCTGCAATCACAGGTTACTGGAAGTCTGAGAAGGGTCGGATCTCAAGTGTGAGCAAAGAGGGAGCCTGTGTAATTAACTCTAGCCCCTTACTAACTCCCCACGATGGAGAAAGTGAGTGCACCTCCGCCTGCCCCGTCCGGCAGTGTTCTGTCTGTCTGTCTAAACTAAACTCTGAGTTATTATTACAGAGCTACTTCTCAAGCGGATTAGTTTACCTTAACCCTACATGTCAAGTCAGTTTTGTTTGTGTAGCGCTTTTCACAGTGCTTATCGTTTCATAGCAGCTTTACAGAAAATAGTGCCACAGTAAGTGAACCAAAAGCAAATGTGGCAAGGAACAGATTCCCTAAAATGTTTAGCTAGTAGATTTTAGTTACATACTTGGCCTTGTCCAAAGCTTAAGTTAAGTAAGTGTACACTGTAAAAATCATTTTCTTATTCATTTAGTCTTTTTTCCCATGATGTTCTGAGATCAGCAGTACTGTGCAAAAGACTAATATCAATTTAGGTGTCCTAATGTTCTTGTGAAGCATTTAAATGTGCCTGTAAGCTTTTGCATTGTACAGTATAAGTCTGAGAAGGCATAGCATAAACCTACGTTTGTCAGTTTCATCCTGTTTTAACAATTTATGTTTTTTAACAGGAAAACAAAGCAAACATCCCTATTAAAGGAATAGTTCACCCAAAAATGAAAATGAGCTAAACAGTAGCTAAAGAAAAAAACCCTCAGGCCATCCAAGATTAGGATGAGTGTGTTTCTTCATCAGATTTGGAGAAACATAGCATTGCATCAGTGTCTCAGCAATGGATGCTCTGCACTGAATGGGTGCCGTCAGAATAACAGCTGATAAAAACATCACAATAATCCACAAGTAATCCACACCACTCCAGTCCATCAGTTAATGTCTTGAGAAGACAAAAACTGTGTTTGTAAGAAACAAATCCATCATTAAGAGAGTAATCTGTACAGATCAAGCACCGTTTACAAGCCTAAACAGTCCAAAACAGCTCTAAACAAATATGTGTGTGGCTTTTGATGTGAGAGACAACAGGAGATGGACTTTTTCACTGGAGGAAGCGTTATTGTGGATTATAGACTCAATGTTTTTATCAGCTGTTTGGACTCTCATTCTGACGGCACCCATTCACTGCAGAGCATCCATTGCTGAGACACTGATGCAATGCTACGTTTCTCCAAATCTGATGAAGAAACAAACTCATCTACATCTTGGATGACCTGAGCGTGAGTACATTTTCACGACTATTCACACAGCTATTCCTTTAAGTAATACATTTTTGCTGTATGAATGTAAATATTGCCAAATAGTATTCATACACTTTTTTTTCCGATTAATTTAACTCTTGGAATCGGCTTGTTTTTCTCAGAAAGGTAATGTTTTAATGAGGTTTATGTTTTTAAATTTGTGTTTTAAAAAAGAGGTCTTCCTGAATTTTGGCTTGTGTAAGGTATTTGTCATCCCGTGCAAATAATAATGTGAACCGTGCATGTAAGACCTGAATGTGAATGAGCGTGTCCACAAGCACTCCCTGTTTCCAGCTCACCTCATGTTTTCACGATTCAAGCGAATGCTGCTTGAAGACACTGTAATGTGCCACATACTGTCATATTATCACAATGCAAACAGTGTTTGCTTGCAATTAATAGAACCAGTGATCATTTGAATTAAAATTATTGTGTGATTGCTAATGTACGACTTAATAGATAGAAAGTAAAGTGGATGGATGTATGGATTGATAGATGTTTAGATGTGAAAATGGAGTGGATCCATGCATGAGTGAATACTGTATGGAGGAAGAAATGGATTTGAGAATGGTTGGAATACAAAGACTAATACCTGAATGGACAAGTTGATGGATGGGTACATAGAAGACGGATAGATGGATGAATGAGTAACATACTCCCTGTGTTTGTGTATGAACCCGCAGCTTCATTCAGTATGGGCTGGGCCGCCTTCATGAACATCTCTCCTAATGTGAAAGAAGAGGGAGCGATGAAGGAGGACGCCGGCACTCAGGACACTCCGTACACTGAGGTGCATCTCAGAGGAGTGAGTGTTTATAATGTCTCTCATAAAGGTGCTGAGTGACCTCTCTGTCCTGTAGGACACACTGGTGGAGCAGCTGGAGATGTGTGTGGATTCCCTCTGGAAGTCTGAGAGATACGAGCTCATCGCAGAGATCAACAAACCTGTTATAGCTGTCTTCGAGAAGAGACGAGATTTCAAGGTACTTTGATTATCAGTGGACTGATAGGAAAACACAAGGGACGTGTTTATGAACTGTATCTGTGTGTCCTGTAGCGGTTATCAGAGCTGTACTACGACATTCACCGCTCGTACCTGAAGGTGACAGAGGTGGTGCACTCTGAGAAACGCCTGTTTGGACGCTACTATCGTGTGGCTTTCTATGGACAGGTGAGACGCGCAAACACTCTTTTGGAAGTCATACTTTATGAAAAGTGCAAAAGTGCAGTTGTCACCTGATATTTCTGCAGTCCTTCAGAGATCTGATGAAATCGGCACTAATCTCTGCAAAGAAAAGCTCAACTAATAAATCTGCTAATGTCAACATGTGATAGCTATGTTATTTTGTAAGATAAAAAAAAGATTGGCCAACCTGAAAAACTTTTCCACTTTTTTCTCAAATATGATTTATTTTGATTTAATATTATGATTAAATGTGATTAATCATAGCGAACATTGGACTCATTTTGCAACAAGTTTTGGTGTGAGAACTCAGTCTTGGTTTGTGAATGGGCCTTAAACTTTAACAGAGTTTAAAATTGTCAAATGAAAAAAAAAAAAACTCCGTAAACAAATAAATACAAATTAGTGTGGAATATCAAGCATGCAGGGACTCAAATGAGCATGGCTAGTATGAGTTCACTCAACAAGTTTTATTAATCCTAATTAATGAAGGCAAATAGATATTTACTGTCCATAACTCTTGGTGTGTTTAAACACTCTTCTGTTCTCTCCTGTGTGTTGTGTATCTATCAGGCAGTGGTAAGTTTAGTTTAAGTTGTTCTGCTCTCACTCTTAACGCTCCTAATCTCTCCCTACACGCTAATAATATGTGTGCCACACAATACTTCTCCTGGACGTGACCGTTCTCCTCTGCTGATCTAATCCTGAGCGTTTATACTCTGTGTGTACATTGTGAGTGATTTCAGGTAAATGAAGTTGAGTTTCAGACAGAGACATCTAAATGTGATGTTAACCTTCATTACAGAAGCTGAGTTCATTGTGCTTTGTCATTTTAACAGCGTGTTGCATTGACTGTTGTGTTAACAATTGGACTTCAGCAAAAGTTGTTATATCCACCTTATTTTTAATAAGAGCATAAGAGCAGGTGCGGCTATTTGTAAATTGAATATGCTGTTATACCTCTTGATATCACAAACTGGCATTGGTCATCATTTTATTTGAATATATTATTGTAATCATAAACACACTGGTTTGTAGCACAAACAGAGTAAATACTAAAAGTTTTACCTTTTACTGTACTTTATTCTTGTCTTTATTCATCTAACATTAGGGTGGCCATTTCTATACTCTGCAGGATTCATAAAGGCAGGATAAAAACCCTAAACCACTGACAAAAAAAAAACATTCCCATTAAGGGATGATATTTTTCACTTTAAATTGATTTCCAGGGACATTTTTTATCCTTTACAAGGGCAAATTTTCTAATTTTATTAAATGCATACATAATCTTTCATGTAAATTCATATATTTATTAAATAAATGCAATTAGAATAATAAGACACTATGTGCACCAGTCAAATGAAATCGGTATCAATATAATCCATGTTGACACTTCATAAGTACAGACATTTAGATATATTTAGACACACTGTTTAATGCAGCCCAGAGATGCCATGAATGCATTTACACTACAGATACAATTGCATAAATAATGTTAGGAGATTCATATAAAATATACGGAATATATAACTATGAAATTATACTTTAAATATGAAACTACCAGTAGGTGGCAACAAGTCACTGTCTTAATGAGTGAGTCATTGATTCACTCATTCAACCAATTTGTTCAAAACGGTTGATTCATTCAGGAATAAAGTGAGCCATTTACTGATTTCAGAAGTGTGTACTAGTAAGCGTAGTATACTATTATGCAGTTTAGAATTTATGAATGGATGGATCTTTGACTCACCTGATTTGTTCGAAAACGCCGAATCCTTCAGGAACGAAACACCATTGTTATCGTAGATGCAGTGATTGGCGAAATACAGCAGATCAGTCCATACTGATAATATTGTGTCTAAAATGGACGTCACTCAATAGTAACCTGAACAAAACATTTATATTTATTTATTACTGTATATACAATTGTATAAAGTATAAAATAGAGATCTTAAAAGTAGGACAAACCGTTGCTTAAGCCTCTGCTGGTAGACGGACTGTCCAACCTAAAACCGGACAAATGGCCACCCTGTCGCACATAAAAACACAGAAAAATAGCTTACTTCCGTGCAAAATAAGGTGGATACTCTGTGCTAGACACTCCATAAACTGGTGATCTCTAGTTCATGTGCAGTGTTGTGTTCACCAGGGCTTCTTTGAGGAAGAGGAGAGTAAGGAGTTTATCTATAAAGAGCCGAAGCTCACAGGACTGTCTGAGATTTCTCAAAGACTCCTCAAACTCTACTCAGACAAGTTTGGAGCTGACAACGTCAAGATGATCCAAGACTCCAACAAGGTTTGTTCTGCTGACCTGTGAAGAATCTCTTGTCTGAATCACAGTGAAGCTCGTTTATAGTCACTAGGATGACAGTGTTGTTTACTGTGTGTTTTTCGCAGGTGAATCCTAAAGACCTGGACCCCAGATTTGCCTACATCCAGGTGACCTACGTAGTGCCTTATTTTAATGAGAAGGAACAGCTGGAGAAGAAGACCGACTTTGAGTGCCATCACAACATCAATCGCTTTGTCTTTGAGACGCCCTTCACGCTTTCTGGGAAAAAACATGGAGACGTGGAGGAGCAGTGCAAAAGAAAAACCATCCTGACCAGTGAGGCACTTCAAAATAACATTCAATCAAAACTGACACGAAAGAAAAACACCTTTATAGACCTTTTTTATCTTATGAAAACTGTTTAATGGTGCTGTAAGCTATGAAAGTAATTAGGACTTTGTCACAATTCTCTCTTTTTTTCAATTCTGAGGAAAAAAGCTAGAATTACGCGAGATATAAACTCAGAATTGTGAGATATAAAGTAAGAATTGTGAAATAAAAAGTTGCAGTTACCTTTATCATTTTATTATGTGGTGGAAACAAAAAAGCAGAGTTCTGAGAAAAAAAGTCAGAATTGCAAGATATAAACTCTTGGAATTGTGAGGAGTTTATATCCAAAAAATCTCAGATTATATCAAATTATATCAGGTTTATATCTGGAACGTTTAAATCTTGCAATTCTGACTTTATGTGTCAAAATTCTGTCTTTTTTTCCCCCGCCATTCTGAGAAAAATTCAGAATTGTGTGAGAAACTTGCAATGGCAAGAAAAAAAAAAGTCAGAATTGAGACATATAAACTCAGATTTGCAAGATTTAGGATTCTGAGAAAAAAAGTCAGAATTGTGAGATTTAAACTCAGAATTGCAAGTAAAAAAGTCAGAATTGTGAGTTTATATCTTGAAATTCTGACTTTATATGTCGTAATTCTGAGAAAAAAGAAAGTCAGAATTGTAAAATTAAGGTTGTAATTACCTTTGTTATTTTAATTTTGTGGTGGAAACAAAAACAGAATTCAGAGAAAGTCAGATTTGTGACATATGAAGTCAGAAACTTGGAATTGCAAGGAAAAAAGTCATAATTCTGTATTTTTATTTTGCGATTCTGACTTTGCATGCCAAAATTCTCTTTTTTTCTTGCTATTCTGAGAAAAAAAGCAAAATTTGCAAGAACAAAAGACAGAATTGTGAGATATAAATGCACAATCGCAAGACGAAAAAAGTCAGAAAGGTGAGATAAAAAGTACTTTTTACATTTTCTTTTATCCTGTGGCAGAAACAGGCTTCCATAGTAAGAGTTTTTAGCATTCTAGAGCTTCTGCCTGAATTATACACCCCTCTCTTTCAAGATCCCGTCAAGCAGAAACTCAGCAAGCATTGCGTTTATTTTCATGCACTTTTCACACACCTTCTTCCTCTGTCTTCCTACTCCTGTTAGGACGTAAGCCGTTGCTGACAACTGGATAATTGCAAAACCTTAACTTGCCCCTTTCCAACTCATGAAACCACTCTTCTGTACTGTACTGTAAAAATCCATCAGGCACTCAGCTTCCAGCGTCCCGTATACCTGCTGTTAATGCATGCATGAATATATTGAAAACATTGCCAGAAGCACTGACCTAATAATGGCCGTTTTGCATTTCTGACCACAAAACATAATGTAAACGATGGATATGTTTATTTCTTTGCAAACCTGGCAAATATTGGATGTCACAGACCCATTAACTCCCATCTCTGCTGCCTGTGTTGTTCTGCAGCGAGCTCCGGTTTTCCCTTCTTGAAGAAGCGTATCGAGGTGGTGGAGCAGCAGAGCACAGAGATGAACCCCATCGAGGTGGCGATCGACGAGATGAGCCGCAAAGTGTCTGAGCTCAATCAGCTGTGCGGCGATGCACAACAGATCTTCTGATGCTGTTGGGGAAGTATCTAGTTACTAGTTACATGTAACTGAATTACAAAATAAAAGTAACTGTTACAGTTACTGAGAAAAAATGTGTAACTCAGTTACAGTTACTGTTAATGTTAATGATTACAAAGAGGGTTACATCTGAATATTTTCACACACATACAGATATGTGACCCTGCAGCACAAAAGCAGTCTTAAGTCGCTGGGGTATATTTGTAGCAATAGCCAACAATACATTGTATGGGTCAAAATTATTGATTTTTCTTTTATGCCAAAAACCATTAGGATATTAAGTAAAGATCATGTTCCATTAAGATATTTTGTAAATTCCCTACCGTAAATATATCAAAACTTAATTTTTGATTAGTAATATGCATTGCTAAGAACTTCATTTGAACAACTTTAAAGATGATTTTCTCCATATTTAGATTTTTTTGCACCCTCAGATTCCAGATTTTCAAATATTGTCCTGTCCTAACAAACCATACATCAATGGAAAGCTATGTATTCAGCTTTTAGATGTATACATCTCAATTTCACAAAATTGACCCTTATGACTGGTTTTGTGCTCCAGGGTCACATTTGATTGATTTTCTTCTTAAATTGCATTGACTGCTCTAAATTATGACACACCAATGTTTCAGGAGTTTAGGGCACATGCATATTCGATAACCGTTTTATTTCCTATTTCGGTTTTATGTATATGCTCTATTTTTTAAGATTAACTGTTTTTTCCAAGGCATTGTTAGATGCCAGTGTTTCTTGTCATAGCTATGCAACGAATTGATTTCAAAAACAGTATCTATTAAACTGCATCTTAAGATTTTAAACCTGCATTTCACCTTAGAATGATCTCAAAGTAAAAAGAGGTGCTAAAGACTGTGCTTAAAAATTCAATGATTATAATCTTAATTCAAGTGATGAAGGATTTTTGACATCAGTGTTGAGTTCTGCTGTAAGGTTAGCCCCCAAAAATTATTAACAGTTTAGAAAAATTTAGAAATTTAAATTTAGAAGTAATCAAAAATACACAAATGTAATAAGTTACATTACTTTAATAAAGTAATTGAAATAGTGACACTACTTGTTACATTTTAAATAGGGTTTTTTAAATAGGGTAACTTGTAATCTGTAACCTGTTACATCTCCAAAGTAACCTTCCCAACAGTATCTAGCCATTTCTAAACTTGCCGTTTTACCATAATAGCATGAGCTATTCTAGCATCTTGAGTAAGACTGTGAAGTAGGGACTTATTTTCATGAACTCAGATGTTGTTTTAGGTAAATGCTGGGCCCATGGCCTACGCCCGAGCCTTCCTCGAGGAGAAGAATGCCAAGAAATACCCAGACAACCAAGTCAAACTCCTGAAAGAGATCTTCAGGTACCTCATTGTTCCCTACATCAAGGAACGCAAAGTATAATGTTATTATGGTGTTATTTTAATGCCACCATGATAACTGCGTCAGAATGTCCTTCATTCTCATGCAGAATTAGTTCTCAAATATGTCCAAAATAAATAAACTGAATGAAACACAGATCAGTATGGTCTCTAAATGTAAATGTCTTGAATTACATCAAGGAACGCAAAGTATAATGTTATGGTGTTATTTTAATGCCACCATGATAACTACGTCAGAATGTCCTTCAATTCATGCAGAATTAGTTCTCAAATATGTCCAAAATAAATAAACTGAATGAAACACAGATCAGTATGGTCTCTAAATGTAAATGTCTTGAATTAGCAACATTTCAAAGTTTGAAAATTTTGATCTCCATTACATTTGATTTCATTTCACACACACACACACACACACACAAAAGGTTTAAATAGCTTTGCTACCCAACACTAGTATATAGTAATAACTTTTACCGTACCTTCTGATCACACTGCAAAAATAATAATGTCCTTCATCAGTATTTTTGTCTTATTTTCGCTGCAAATGTCTAAAGATTCTTAAGTCAAGATACATTTTACTTGAGAAGCAAAATGACCTAAAATAAGAAGTCTTGTTTTTTTTTGTTTTTTTATTAAATTGATCAAAATACAATGAGTTTATGATTAAAACAAACACAAATATCTACCAATGGGCTCAGAAAAATCATCTTCATTTTAAGGGAAAACAAGTTTTCATTCCCCATCATTAGATATTTCTTCTTGTTTAAAGCATAAACTCACTTAAATTTGTTCAATTTCTTAGAAAACAAGACTCTATATCTGCGTTTTGCATCTCAAGCAAAAGTATCTTGATTTAAGGATGTTTAGATATTTGTACTTGAAAACGAGGAAGATACTCATTTTTTTGCAGTGCATGCAACATTAAATGCCATGAATTTAAGACTTTCTGCTCTGATTTAAGAGCATTTTAGGCCTTCATTTTTGTAAGTGTGAATATTACAAAGATATTTTAAGATCTTTACAGGACATACATTTAAAGCAGTAAGTTAGACCACAAAAGTTTGGTTTGTTTTTGGGAAGTTTTAAAGCTGGACATCTATGATAAACTTCTATAAGCAGAATGTTTAATGATGTTAACAAATGCACTGAAAGCTAAACAATGCTCAAAGTTTGTGGAGTGTACCAAATTACTTTTAACAGAAGTGTAAAAAAGACTGCGATGCGGGTTTGCTGTTTGTGGTCCTGCAGGCAGTTTGCAGACGCGTGTGGTCAGGCCTTGAAGGTGAATGAGCGTCTCATAAAAGAAGATCAGCTGGAGTATCAGGAGGAGATGAAAGCTCACTATAAAGACATGCTGACCGAGCTCTCCGCCATCATGAATGAGCAGGTCAGCACACTTCATCCCATGCATTAACTCCTTCCCCGCCATCGACGGAACCCTCCAGATTTCTGTGTTTTCACTGATATACTGTAGGGGGCGCTATTACACATCTTCTGAAAGAGTACTGAATCTCTGGATTAAAACAGGTGAAGAAGAAGCAGAAACAAGCGATCGCATGTGTAAGCAGATGCATATATAAAATAGCGTGATCCTCAAACATTAAACAGAATATAAATCAAAACTGCCTAAAGTTACTGAATGAAATGTCGACCCAGGAAGTGTTTTAGGGCTGTGAAGCTTTGTGGGCGTTGATGGAAGCGATCTACTCTCATCTGTTTTGACCATCAAATCTGATCCAAATATAGTCTTTTACAAAAACGCAATTTTCTCAACGTTTTGTTCAAAATGCTGCTTTTTTTTAAATGAAACTTACCCACATTCAAGAGTTTATATAAAAATGCATAAAGCTAGAATAAAACAGTTTTTTTTTCTTCATTTGTTTAAAAGCAAAGGTTCAGATTTATTTTTTGACATATTGCATGCTCAGATATTCATAAGTGAAAGTTTTGTGAAAATGATTAAAAATGCCGGCGGGGCTGGCAACTTAAAAAAAAAAAAAAAAAAAAAAAAAATGCTGACTGGGAAAGAGCTACAATTTTAGTTGATGCATGCATGAAGTCAGTTTTCAATTTATTTCTTAAAAATACATGTCATTTGGTTTGATATTTTATTAAATAATGCAAAGCCATTCATGCATATCAAATGTGGCTTATACTATATGTCAAATCATTTTTGGGGATGCTCATGGGAAGGGTCAATTTTTTAAAACTGAGATTTATACATCATATGAAAGCTGAATATATAAGCTTTTCATTGATGTGTGGTTTGTTAGGATCGGACAATATTTGGCTGAGATACAACTATTTGAAAATCTGGAATCTGAGGGTGCAAAAAAATCTAAATATTGAGAAAATCATCTTTAAAGTTGTCCAAATGAAGTTCTTAGCAATGCATATTACTAATCAAAAATTAAGTTTTGATATATTTATGGTTAGAAATGTACAAAATATCTTCATGGAACATGATCTTTACTTAATATCCTAATGATTTTTGGCATAAAAGAAAAATGTATAATTTTGACCCATACAATGTATTGTTGGCTATTGCTACAAATATACCCCAGCGACTTAACACTGCTTTTGTGCTGCAGGGTCACAAATGCTTAAATAAATCATCTTTTTTCTGCCTTTTGCTTGTATATAGTTACGTTGTGTGTTAATGGCATGTTTTTTCTATATTTCTCCACCCCTTTAAAGATCCCGTACACGAGACAACCCGGAACAGAACGACACAGTGCCATCTGAGCTGCTAGTGAGTTTGGGAAACATTTCTGTCTGACATGGCTTGTGGGTTTTTCTGACCAGAGGGACTAAAAAACTTTGATTTTAACGAAATAGTAATGGGCAAAAAGGAAAAGAATTATAGTCTTGTGGACGAAGCAGAATGCCTGTGTAACACACACTCTCACACACGCACACACACACTCTCACACACACGCACACTCGCACACACACTCGCACTCACGCACACTCACACACGCACACACACTCACGCACACACACACTCTCACACACGCACACTCTCACACGCACACACGCACACTCGCACACACACACACACTCTCACACATGCACACACACACACACACTCGCACACACTCACACTCACACACACATGCACACGCACACACTCACACACACGCACTCACACACACTCACACGCACTCACACGCACACACTCGCACACACACTCGCACACACACTCGCACTCACGCACACTCACACACGCACACACACTCACGCACACACACACTCTCACACACGCACACTCTCACACGCACACACGCACACTCGCACACACACACACACTCTCACACATGCACACACACACACACACTCGCACACACTCACACTCACACACACATGCACACGCACACACTCACACACACGCACTCACACACACTCACACGCACTCACACGCACACACTCGCACACACGCACACTCTCACACGCACGCACGCACACTCGCACACACACACTCTCACACACACACTCGCACACACTCACCTGAAGAACTACAGGTACATCATCACATCAAATATGCCTTTTTTTCTAAACCCTGTTCTTTTTAGAAGCAGTGACCTTAATTAACTCCAGTGGTGTTTGACCAAGCAAATATTTTCTAGGGCTTTCACTCCAGTGTTTTCCGTTGTGTTTTTTCACTGATATCTGCCGTACGGTCGTATTGTTTCATGTATTTCACGTAACCGTGTTGAACACATCTCTAGTCCCTGACTGAATGTAAAGCTCCTAACAGTCCCAGCTCATTTCTTTTACAAACCCAGATGTGCCATTTTATACATTTTTTAGGATTGACAATGTTTTACTGTTATTACATATACTGTTGTAAATTGTAAATAAGAATAATTAAAATTTAAAATGTTTCTTTTTATATATTAAAAGATGATATGATTGTTTGTGTCAGTTATTAATGCAGGACTTTGACTGAATAAAAATGTTAATGTCCAAAACTGAAAACACAAACTTAACGAGATAAAATACAAATAACAAAAGGTATTAAAAAAATAAACCTTTGAGCTAAAAAATGACATTATATAATCTGACACTGATTGCAGTGTTTTTACTTTACTTTTTAGTTTTTTTCTCTACAAAAGCTGCACTATTTTGAACACAGCCACGCTACTGAAAACAGTAGTTCAGCACTATTATTGCTTGTTGATAGTTACTTATGGAGTTAATTATGTATCTTTTTATTTAATGTGAAAATAAAGTTGTTGTTTTTTTAAGTTTAAAAAAACAACCACTCCGTACAAAAGTTTATATTACATATAATATAACAATATTATAATTTATAATTATAATTTTAAAGAATAGCAGACAGAATCCTATGGAAGCCCGTAACATTTCCACCACGGAATAAAACATAAAACACAAAACAAACAAGGTAATTGTAGGGATGCTCCGATCGATCGGCTGATAATCACATTTTATGATTTGATCGGTACTCGCTACATTTGGCCAATCGCAAAGTGATGACGTCAGTGCGTGACGACGTACATGATGCGTGGGACGTAAATGATTTGGCGCCACAGTCATGTCATCGCCGCTGTGGAAATGCTATGACGATTCGAGAAACAATGAAAAATTTGCTATTTGTCGTGTATGTTTGGCATGATGATATGATGAATGCATGGTTCATTTTTAACAGCACACTGAAGCGGCTCTCTGCGCTGCTTGGTTAAAATAGTCTTCTGTGAGTTGTCACAGCATGGAGGACGGAACAAAACCTCGTCGGAGCCGTAAGGGATAACGGTAACATAATACGCTGATCGTGAACATTTATAAAACAAAATATCTTCTTTGGCCATATTAGCCTACTCAGTAGCATTAACACAGGCTTTACTCCTTTGAAAATTTATCTGGAATGTCACCGTTTCTGTCACTGCAACTTCCCAATCAGGCGAACGAACACACACACACACGAAATCGTCTGCCAAAACTACAAAAAATGTAGTTAATATTTGCTTCATTTATGATTTATTTTATTCACCCGCGACCCACCCGCAAATAATCAGAATGCATTTTTTATTACTCGACCCGTGGATATAAGAAAAGCAAAATATGTTTGCTGCGTGTACTTGTACTTGTACTTACTGAAAATGCAAATTCATTCTCTGCCAGCAGGAGGTGATTTAAAGCGGGAGAAACCGAGGTTTCCCCGGTAACAGCTGTACACCAAGCGGCAACCTCCCGCTCTCTCTCGTGAAGCCAACATGGAAGTGACAAACTGTAATTCATCAACTGGCCGCTAGAGGCTGGCTGCAAAAGGGAGTCAGTCCCATAGACTCCCCATGTTAAAATGCCCAACTTTACAGCAGAAAAAAACATGTTTACAGCCTGGTTCAAAAAATTATTTTGGTCTATATAGCTAATTTTGCCCTTCATGACAACTGTGAGGGGGGTGAATTTTTTTACAACTCATCCGTTTAAATGATATTAAGCCTTAAATTTCTGCATAATTAAGGGCGTGGCCACTTGAGTGACAGGTGGATTGCCGCTGCTGTCACCACCGTCAAGCTAGGTGGGCGTGGTTTCAGCACTCAGCTCCCGCCTCTTTGCCCATTTTCGATTATACGGGAGTGACGCGCGGTGACGCGCTGCCAAGATGGCGACGGCAGGCTCCTCCCACTTTGAGCTTCAAAAACGCTCTTCGGAAATCTACGGGTGACGTCACGGACACTACGTCCATGTTTTATACAGTCTATGCTGTACACACAGCAGCGCTGAGCTCACAAACGCTGCTTTATCAGGCATATACCATGCAAGATTAAATGAAAATAACATCGAACATTTTCTAAAGATAGTTTTCCTTCAGAAATAGTGATATAAAAACACCCGCGCCTCGTTTTGATTTTTAAACGTGCAGTAGCATGCTCATGTTTATTCAACGAAGCCTTTTGGAAAATTGGTCAGATTTGATATTGTGGCGAGCGCCACACATAAATAAATGTATGGAAACACATCCCACAGCACAACCACCTGAACCCAACTTCAGTCTACTCATCACCTTAACTTTAACTGCGTTTGTAGCCGCGCCATAGCCAGACTGATGAACAAACACAGACCGGAAGTTAACTTCGGGCCAGGCGCGAGTGCCTGATGAAACCGTCTCTATATAAAGCTTGAAGCAGCAGAATCGGTATCGGTATCGGCCGATCACCATGACAAGAAATCGGTACTCAGTATCGGCTGCAAAAATCCTGATCGGAGCATCCCTTGGTAATTGCGACTTTTTATGTCACAAGTGTGACTTCTATTTCTCAGAATTGCTAGATATAAACAAACAATTCTGATAAAGTCAGAATTGTGAGATAAAAAGTCGCAATTACCTTTTTTTCATTTTTTTTCCTCAGTGGCAGAAACAGCTTCCACAGAATCCAGACCACAACTACAGCGATTTTTTCCAGCTGATGAATAATAATCATGCCTTGTATAGTTATTGTTTCTGGTGTGAAGGAGCCTTTACTGTTTTGCCAAATGAATACTTTTCTCACACATGCTGTCTGGACATTGCTCTGGTGTATCTTTTACAGAGATACGCTAAACCTACAACTGAGATCAAACTTCCTGAGTTTGTGGATCAGTCCTGCGATTTCTTTCAAAGCTGAAGTCCACACCGACACACAGATGAGCTTCTAGAGAAAGATGCATCTTGTAGTGGTGTCCACACTTGTTTAAATAGCACAGTCAAGTTCTTGAACAGTTTTCAAGTGTGCTTAGATTATAAAAGATTTCTTAACAGACTGATCAATGCAGGCACAGACAACACAATTACTAACTATTTAAAGAGCAAATATTTAATTGTGGCAAACAATGCACTCTTACAGAATCTCACTGTATATTAATTTTATCATTACTTTGATTGGTTTTAAACAAAGTTAATTTCATTTTCACAGAAAATAAATTACTGCAACGGAGCATAATTTTGTTTTTGCGGACATGTTTTTTTTTTTTTTAAACGCGTTTACCAGATTTAATATTGTTCCTGAAGCCTGTCCCAGCTGTGAATAAACGGCTAATATTCAGACCGTGATGTAACTCATCAAAAAAGGCTCTCCATTTAAAAGGAGTCAGCGATAGTTTAAAGTGTTGGTTTGAGGAGCAGGTGAAGATGGAGAGGTTATTCTAGTTTCTCGTCTCCTTCCTCCACATCTTTGAGACCGAGCACCTCCAGCGTTCCCTTCCCTTTAGTCTCACAGCGGATCAGCTCATCAATGTCACGGAAACAACCAGGATCTATCAGACACCTGGAAAATAAAGATAACACCCTTACACTGAGAATCTGTGTGTGTGTGTGTGTGCGTGCATCTGATGTGTGTGTGTGTGTGCGTGCGTGCGTGCGTGTATCTGAAGTGTGTGTGTGCGTGCGTGTATCTGATGTGTGTGTGTGTGTGTGTGTTTATCTGATGTGTGTGTGTGAGTGTGTGTGTATCTGATGTGTGTGTGTGTGCGTGCATGAGTGTGTGTGTATCTGATGTGTGTGTGTGTGGGTGTGCGTGCGTACGTGTATCTGATGTGTGTGTGTGTGTGTGTGTGTGCGTGCGTGCATCTGATGTGTGTGTGTGTGTGCGTGTATCTGAGAGTGTGTGTGCATGTATCTGATGTGTGTGCGTGTGTGTGTGTATCTGATATATGTGTGTGTGTGTGTGAGTGAGTGTGTGTGTATCTGATATGTGGTTATCTGATATGTGTGTCTGTCTGTCTGTGTGTGTGTGTGTGTGTGTCTGATGTGTGAGTGTGTTTCTGATGTGCGTGATGTGTGTGATGTGTGTGTTTGTGATATGTGTGTGATGTGTGTGTTTGTGATATGTGTGTGATGTGTGTGTTTGTGATATGTGTGTGATGTGTGTGTTTGTGATATGTGTGTGATGTGTGTGTTTGTGATATGTGTGTGATGTGTGTGTTTGTGATATGTGTGTGATGTGTGTGTTTGTGA